TTCCAACAGTTGTTCCATTGCAATTTAACTCTGGGAGCTGAATTAACTGCTGTAGGAAATCTGTCTCTATTGTGGGAGGAAGTCTACCCTAGAATGATGCTGGCCAATCCAACTACTTGGCAGCTCCATAGTCCTAACAATGCCAGCATTGAGCACTGACAACCACTGGAACTACAAGTGGCTTTGCCACATCGAGAAGATCAGTCAAGTCCAGGTTGAGGATTCTCAGCAAAGATAGTGAGGGGGCCAGGAATAAGAGGCTGGGTGGTGGGGAAAGTGGGAGATCTCGGGGGCATTGCCTCTAAAGGGCCCACGGGACCCCAAAAAGAAGACCCTTGTTCTTTTTTTTATTCCTGACACCAACCCTCACAGTTAAAGATGCTCAGCTTCCCCACAAAGTACTGCATAGGCCTCCCATTGCCACAGTGAAAAATTGTCCGAGGGTGGGTGGACCTCTTGAGACATCACATTTCACATTCGGGGGGGCGAGGCACGCAAGTGGATGCTTAAAAAGCCGACCGCTGGATTTTAAGTGCCCTCTCCCCCAAACCTGTCACCACTGAGGTGTAATAAATCCAGCCCTGGAGTGGGAATTGAAATCATAATTTTGACTCAGAGGGAGCAGAGTATTCATTGAGCCACAGCGGTATTTTTGTTTAATTCATTTATTCATTCGTGGGATGAGGGCGTCGCTGACCAGGCAGCATTTATTGCCCATTCCTAATTGCCGAGAGGGCAGTTAAGAGTCAACCACATTGCTGTGGGTCTGGAGTCACATGTAGGCCAGACCAGGTAAGGATGGCAGTTTCCTTCCCTAGAGGACATTAGTGAACCAGATGGGTTTTTCCGACAATCGGCAACGTATTCACGGTCATCATTAGACTCTTAATTCCAGATATTTACTGAATTCAAATTCCACCGTCTGCCATGGCGGGATTTGAACCAGGACCCCCAGAATGTTATCTGGGTCTCTGGATTAACAGTCCAGCAATAACACCACTAGGTCATCACCTCCCCATTGAGAGATTGATTCAGTAAGAGATTGACGTACAGACTGAAAGACATAGTCAATGTCATCTTAATTCCCCAATTCGACCTGATTAGTTTGTAAATTAAGTGTGAAACTAGACTGTAAGAAGTTACAAGATTAATTCTCCAATTGTTGGGAGGGACAATTGTATGGTTGCAATAATTAACAATTGGCCTGCCCATTCCTGAACTAGGGATGTGAAAAGTCAGTCAACATTTTCACTCCTCATTATGATCAAGCGACCCTTGTTTGAAGGTGTTGGTGTGCAAGTGTGATGTGAAGGCGACCAAACTTGAGTACAATAGCCCTGATGGTCAGATGACATGCCATAAATCACTGCCTAGGCTACACATGGGTGAAGTACTAGAGTGTGCCAGGCAGCAATGAAACTGAATGCCACTTCCTTCAGGCCAAAAACTGCTCAAGAACTCGGAGTACACTTTTAAAGTGTTTTGCAACAGATGTAAATGTGAGGTCAGATACATGTTTTTTAACACAATGAGTAGTTAATGTACGGAATTCACTACCTAAAAGTGTGGAAGAGGCAAGGTTGATTAAGGCACGCAAGAAGGCATTGGATGATTATTTAAACAGAAACAATGCGCTTGGTTACAGGCAAGAAGTCTGTAGACCTGGAGGTTGCTGTTAAGTTAAAACGCTCAGAGAGCTGGTGCAGACATGATGGGCTGAATGGCCTCCCGTCGCACTGTAACAATTCTGATTCTGTGAGGTGTCTGTTCGTGGGTTTTGTGATTGCATACTTTCACAACGGCTCAAAGAAATAGTTTGATGTGATCACTCATACTAAAAGGGATTATTGTCTGATCTCAGGGGAAAGAAGATTAAAATACAATGCAGAAAGGATTTGCTGTGACATTTTCATTGTTGCAAGTGTCACATTAAAAGGCACACGCTTTTCTTAAAGTGAAAGGAGCTTGGTTCTTGAAATAGAAGCAGCCCCATTCTATCATAGTATATACAGCACAGAAACACACCAATCAGTCCCAGCAGATGCATGTTAATGTTTTTACTCCAGGCAAGCCTACAATTACACTCCTGCATCTAACCCTAAGGCATATTTTTTCTGCTTCTATTGTGAAGCAAGTTCATGATATTTATTGGAAAAGCTCAGCAGGTCTGGCAGCATCTGTGGAGAGAAATCAGAGTTAAGGTTTGGGGTCCAGCGACCCTTCCTCAGAACTCCTGTTAGCTCTGATTTCCCGACACAGGTGCTGCCAGACCTGCTGAGCTTTTCCAGCAATTTCCGATTTTGTTTCTGATTTACAGCATCCACAGTTCTATCAGTTTTTATTTGTGATATTTATTATTTGGAAACTTGGATTCTAAAACAGACAAGGCCATATTAAGTTTAAAGTTGAATTTGTACTTTGATACGGCGTTTTTTGAAAGAAAGACATAGTTTTGGCTTCATTTTTGAGTCCTGAGGGAGACTGGATTGTTTGAAAAATTGGTTACATGCGTTTAAATTAGACATTTAATACCCGAGGTGAATGGTTGAGTGCTTTAGAAACAAGGTTAGAAGAGAGAACAAAAGCATTAGCAACAGGTGTCTCATAACAGAGGGAGACAGAGACAGAAACAAATTACTTTAGAAATGTAGAACTGTCCAGAGGGTCAAGAGTATGCAGGTTTTATTTTCAGAGACAGAAATGGGGCATTCAGAAATTCAAGGCCTGTTAAAGCAGCACTACTGTTCAACAGTCTGCAAAACATTCAGGGCAGCAGAAAAGTAGTCCTGAGTGGCATAGAACTAAATTTTACCAGAAATTAGCTAAGTGTCAATTTTGGGGAATTTCATGCAGGATTTCTCTGAGAGTTCTAGCGAGTTTTTTCTCACCTCATTACTTAACGCAACATGCCCCTACAGTACCCTGCTTATCATATTTGGTCACTCGCTGCTGGCAGAAGCACCGACCAATGCTGGCACCTCCCAGAGTCCCTGGCACTGGCAACATCTTTGCAAACCAGCTGTACACCCAGTCAAGCGCTGTCAGTTTGCAATTGCTCTGCATGGTTCCTGTCAATTTCCCAGTCTTGCTAGACAGAGGGAAGCCAGCAGCCTGCTTTCTGATGGGGAACTGGAGGTCCTGGTGGGTGGCAATGTGTTGGGGGCAGTTGCTTCTCCTGGAGCATGGTCCGAAATGTTGTTGACTGATGGGTGGCCAGAGAGGCAGGCAGCAAGTAGGAGTTGTCAGGGTATCGCTCTGCCTTTCATATCGGGAAATGTCGCTGTCTAGTTTCTATCAAGAATGGGAAACTGCAAATCATTGAAATAAGATGACGTAATAATCATCTAATGCATGAAAATAGGTTTCTCATCACTCATTGGCAAGATTCTTATCTCACCATTCCACACTTAGTTGGAAAATGTGATTTTTGCTCTCACCATCGAGAAGATCCTCACTAACCGTCTCACATAGCTCACATATTCCAGGAGTTGGGAAAACTCTGCCCTTAACGTCAGTGGAAGAAAAGCTCCAGAAACAGAAGGGTGTCGCAAAGACAGAAGGTGCGCAGTTTGTTCAAGGGTCTCTAGGAGAGACATTAACTAAAGAAATAACATGAAATGAATGTAAAAAACATCAATGCCACTGAATAAGAAACTTTAAAAGTGGAAACAGAGTCTCCCTTCACTGAATTGAGTACTTGTAAGATTTTGTTGAGGGTAAATAGTTGAATCATTTGTTCAGATATTGTAATAGACTGTTTCAAACAGTTCTTGTTTTTAGTGTAATACAGTTAGTTTACTTTTCCTGCCGTGCGTAATACACTGTAATGTTGTTCTGTTAAAAATACATTGACAGCCTCTTGCACATATCTTCAGTGACTGTACACTATAGCAAACAAATTGCAAGGTAAAACTTTAAGGCTATCCATCAGGATGCAATCTGCGATCAGACCTGTCCAGTATTACTGTCACCTTGGATCATAACACTATCTTCTTCATGTTCTTCGTTTTTTTTTATTTATTCAGGGGATGTGGCCTTCACCAGCTAGGCTAATATTTACTGCTCATGCCCCTAAGTGCCCTTGAGGAGGTGGTGACAAGTTATCTTTTTGAACTGCTGGAGTCCATATGCTGAAGATAGACCCACAATGCTGTTAGGGAGGGAATTCCAGAATTTTAAACTACTGGCATTGAAGGAATGGCAATTATTTCTGAGTCAGGTTGGTGAGTTGCTTGAAGGTTAACGTACATGGGAACAACACACCTCCATCTGCTGTCCCTGTCCTTCTAGATGACAGTGACTGTGGGTTTGGAAGTTGCTGTCTAAGGAATGTTGGTGAATTTCTGCAGTGCATCTTGTGGATGGTACACACTGCTGCTACTCAGCATGGAGGGACTGAATGTTTGTGGATGTGGTGCCAGTCAAGTGGACTGCTTTGGCTTGGATGGTGTCGAGCTTCTTGAACATTGTTGGAGCTGCACTCATCTAGTCAAGTGGGGAGTATTCCATTGTACTTGTGACTTGTGCCTTGTAGATGGTGGACAGGCTTTGGGAGGTCAGTAGATGAGTTACTTGCTATAAGATTGCTAGCCATTGACCTGCTGTTGTAGCCACTGTATTTATACAGCTAAAAGTATTTATTTGCTAACTTCTCTTTAAACATACCTACACTATATCGACCACTCTGTCAGAAAAGATGTTACCCCGATTGGATTTATTAGTAACTATCTTTTCTTTACAATCTCTACTGTTGGACCATCCCAATAGGCCAGTATCTAATAGACCATTCCTTCAACGCCGCTGGGTCAAAATCCTGGAATTCTCTCCCTAAGGGCATTGTGGGTCAACGCACAGCAGGAGGACAGCAGCGGTTCAAGAAGGCAGCTCACCACCACCTTCTCAAGGGCAACTAGGGACCAGCAATAAATGCTGGCCCAGCCAGTGACACCCATATCCCACAAATGAATAAAGTTTTTTTAAAGAATCGGTTTTATACTTACACTTGTTTCTCTAATGGTAGAGTAGGGTCCACCCTCTCAGGCAGCGTGGAGCCGTGTTCTGGAGTCTGTGGTTTGCTGTATTTTGAGCCTGCAGCCAACGGGCTGAGCTGTTTCTGTTGTCTCAGTCGGTCCTTGGCAGAAGGAGATGACCGGTCCCAATCACAGCTATCAAACTGGACTGTTAAAAAAACACACACACACAAACAAACACATACACAGACAGCAACACATTAATCATAGAAACGTATAGTACAGAATGAGGCCACTTGACACAACTTGCCTGCACTGATTATTTGAAAGGGATAACACATTAGTCCCACACCACCTGCTCTTTCCCCTGCAAATTTGTCTTTTTCCATAAATTTCCAATGGAGTTTTAATAGTGAGTCAGCTTGCACCACCCTTGCAATCAAGAGAAAATGTTGCTGCTAACTATCAAAACCCTTTTCTTAAGTCTGGATAGCTATGTTGAATGTTTTTTTCTTCTCTGCTCCAAGATAGACACATTCCCCACTCTGCTCACGTAAGATAAATCCCTTATTCCTTTGCTAGGTCTCCTCCAAATTCTCTCCATCCCGGTGCAAGTTTCAGAGTCTCTACACAGTGCATTCCTTGATTTCAGTCAGTCATGCTGAGGAGGGAAGCTGGACTCCTCTTCACAGGAGGAGGCAAAGCAACCTGTTTTAAAGGGATTTTTTGCTCACGATACGCAAGCTATGATGATGTCAACTCCGAATAGCATTCTGGATGGAGAGTAAGGTGAATGATATTGAGTTCCTGCTCTGTCAGAATATCACAACTAGGCAGGATGTGAATGAAGCCAGATGGAACAGCCAGTCAGCAAAAATATTGACAATATCTGACCTCAGGCTCGTATTAAACCACATGCCCAAAAAAAAAGCATTTTAATGGAAGGGAGCACTAGGATTCGTTATTTTCATTGAGGCTTCACAATTAACTTGACTTTCATGAAGACTGTGCATGCACTCCGTGGATGGTCCCTGCTCTGCTGAGTGTTTCTAACTTTTATGTTTTTGCACATTAAAGTGGTGTATTCAATGTTGCACAGATTTTAATTGCCAGGCCTGGCTAGTTCTGGTTATTTTAATTGCTGTTAAACCTTTCCTGGGATTGTTGAGAAGGCTATGAACATCAGGTGCCAGCTGAGGGGATGCAATCGAGGATTCTCTTCAAAAGGAATTTGGAACAAATGTGTTTACCTTTAGCAGCTGACTAGAGCTCATTAAAACTGAGCGATGCAAATGTAACAGGCAGTGTCATCAACCTCCTGTGTTTCGAGTTGAGATGGATACATTTGCACCCCAGCACTAGCGCATGGTGACACGCAGATGTTCCTGACCAGCCATCACTTCTTTCAGAGTTGGAGCAGGTCAGAGTCATTCAGACAACTCTCAGCCTGCTGCGCTGGCATGAAATGGAGAATAAAACAGCAAGAGAATCAAGTGGCAGCCATTTACAGGCCAAGCAGTGAATACAAACATTGAAAGAAGGCTATTCCTTGAAGTGATTTTAACCCATTCCCTCCCCACACCACTCCATTTGTTCCAATTTTTAAACATCTCCTCATAGCCTGTCCTGTGTCTGTACTTTTTACCATCTTTCCTAACTTATAATTCCTAGCTTACATATTCATCCCGTGAAGTGCTTCAAGCCATTTTACTACGTTAAGAGTTCTCGACAAATATAGCCTATTGCTCTTACATCTAAAAGTTTTTGACACGTGCCTCAAGCTCCATAAAAACCAAGTCAAGTGCTTGACAGGTTTGCAAAGGTATAACCATTTGGAGAGGATAGGGAGGGCTAGACAGGGCACATCTGAGGGAGTTTACCTGTTCACTGATTGTACTGTCCTTGATGTGGTGATGTTATTGTAAAAGATGATCCCAGTAAGGACAAGCTCAAACAATAATAGGGGGCATCTGATGCTCATTAGAACATGGATGTTTTAAGGGCTGGTCAGCTCTTGTGGTGCAGTGATAGTGTCCCTACCTCTGACTCAGAAGGACAGGATCAAGGCCCACTTCTTTCAGAGGTGTGTAATAGCATCTTTAATAGAATCCCTACCGTGTGGAAACTGGCCCTACGGCCCACAAGTCCACACTGACACTCAGAGCATCCCGCCCAGACCCATTTCCCTATAACCCACCTAATCTGTACATCCCTGAACACTATGGGCAATTTAGCATGGCCAATCCACCTAGCACACACATCTTTGGACTGTGGGAGGAAACCGATGCAGACACGGGGAGAATGTGCAAACTCCATGCAGACAGTCGTCGGAGGTTGGAATCTAATGTTCCTGGCGTCATGAGGCAGCAGTGCTAACCACTGAGCCATCGTGCTGCCATCTTTGAGCAGGGTGTTCTGGGACTCAGGTGATTGACAGCAACCATTTGAGGAAGGGCCAAAAGTAGGTGCTTACAGCACAGTGACAGTATCCTGACTTCTGAGCTAGAAGACCCAGGTTCAAATCCCATTTGCTCCAGAGATGTGTAACAACATCTCTGAACATGTTGTTTGGAAAATATTTTCCCCCATTTTGTTAGGTGTCAGGGGCATCCCTTCAGGCCAGATTAGATGTTGACACAGATATAAGCTTAGTCTGAGAGTGGGCTCTTGTGGTGCAGTGGTAGTGTCCCTGCTTTTGAGCCAGGAACCCATGTTCAGATCCCACCTACTCTAGAGTTTACATTTCTGAGCAGGCTGATGAGAAAAAAAGGAGTCCTTGTAGGGACAATGTAAAGTAATTTCACTCTACATCTTGGGATTGCTTCATTTAAATTAATTTCCTCCTCTGGGATGGTTTCCTCTATTAAAAGTGCCAAATATATTCAAACTGTTGCTTTCTTTCTGATCTCACGCTGTATGTACCTGCAGTTTTTCAGTGTTTTTAACTCTCAGATATAAGAATATTAACAGCTTACTTGATCTTGAGGAGCATTCCTAAGCTAAGACTGACCACGTCCATCACCTGCTCACTCATGGCTTGTCGCAAGCTGGGGCCTCTAGATGGGAGCCGTGATTAATATTTCCCAAACCCAAGTTGTTATATAGGTCAATCGCTTTAAATGGACTAATGTTGGAGAATGCATTATGCTTTACCCAACGTCATTCAGTCTTGGGAGAGGATAAGGCAAAACATCTTAGGATTTCATGGAGTGAACACCTAAACCCCCAGATATCTTCATTGACTTATTAACAATGTCCGACCGGCTAATGAAAATTTTACCCAATTGCTACAGGAACAGGGGTAGGGCATTTAGCCCCTTGACCCGGCTCCATCATTCTGTGAGACCAAGGTTGATCTGTGGTCTAACTCCATAAATGTGCCTTAATAGATTTGCTTAACAAAAAAATTATCTATCTCAGATTTGGAATTAGTGGATTATCTAGAATCCACTGCCATTGCGGAGACGAGTTCCAAACATCTACCACCCTTTGAGTGTTGAACTTCTTCCTAACATCTCTCCTGAACCATCTGGTCCTGATTTTTACACTATGCCCCCTAGATCTAGAAGCCCCAACCAGTGGAAATAGTTTACCTTAATCTACCCTGTCTTTTCCCGTTCATATCTTGAAGACTTTGATCAGATTACCTCACAACTTTCTACATTCTAGAGAAAACAGGCTTAATTTGTATAAAACAAGAGAACGATGGATGCTGGAAACCTGAAACAAAAACAGAAATCGCTGGAAAATCTCAGCGGGTCGGGCAGCATCTGTCCGGAGAGATTAGATTTAACATTTTGGGTCCAGTTCTGAAGAAGGATCACAGGACCCAAAACATTAACTCTAATCTCTCCCTACAGATGCTGCCAGACCTGCTGAGCTTTTCCAGCGATTTCTGTTTTTGTTCCTAATTTGTATAGCCTTTCCTACTAAATTAACTTCTGAAATCCAGGTATAATGATTGTAAAACTATGGTGTATTCCCTCTAAGGCTAATATATCCTTTCTAAGGTGTGGTGCCCAGATTGGCTCATAAACAGATCATGCAATAAATTACATCTTGTTAAGACAAGATCCCTTTCTTGTAAAGAATCCCTATTGGCTGATTCTTTACCACCAAAAATAAATAGGTCCCTTAGTCCTCGTCAAAGAAAGCAGAACGGTGACAACCTTCATAGATACCACACAAATGTAGTGTTTTATTTCTGCACCACACTGACTAGAAGTATCTAACTTGATTTGAACCTAGGAATCTTTCTGGTCTCTATTTAACAAGCTGAGTCTCCAAGATCAGTTGATACTGAGAACATAAGATGGGAAAATTTTCTCTTTCCTTGTACTAATCTCCCTCTTATTGATACACCTGAAACATTGTCAAGGAATTCTGAAAAACTTAAAATAGACACAATCCATGAAGTTGAAAACCATGACCATAATCATAGATTCCCTACAGTGTGAAAGCAGATGATTCATCCCACCAAGTCCACACTGACCGTCCAAAGAGCATCCCACCCAGACCGACACCCCCTCCCCCTATCCCTGTAACCCTGCATTTCCCACAGCTAATCCACTTAACCTTTACATCCCTGGACACTCTAGGACAATTTCCCATGGCCAATCCACCTAACCTGCACATCTTTGGACTGTGGGGAGGAAGCCAGAGCACCCGGAGGAAATGCATGCAGATACAGGGAAAAGCTGCAAACTCCACATAGACAGTCACCTGAGGCTGGAATCGAACCCGGGTCCCTGGTGCTGTGAGGCAGCAGTGCGAACCACTGATCCACTGTGCCGCCATAATACCTAGTGTCATTTTCACTTAGAGCATAATTTATTTTGAACAGACTATTCTTCTCTCAAAAACTTCAGATTTGATCATATGATCAGAAATCATAACAGCCAAAGTCGGCCATTCAGCCCATTGACTCTGCTGAATTAATGCAATCAAGGCTGATCAATCCTCAACTCTACTTTATGACCTTATCCCCATTACGGTTACCCTCTTTTTTTCAAATCAGGGTGTAACTTTGGCAGTTTTACAATCCTCTGGGATATTTCCTGAACCTAAGGATTCTTGGGGACGGGTAACCACCAAAGCACCAATTATCTTTGTAGCTACTTCGTTTAAAATTCCGGGATGTAACTAATCAGGTTCAGGGGCCTATTTCCTTCAGCACCATTAGCTTCCTTGGTAATTTTTCTTTAATGT